ATATATATATATATATATATATATATATATATAAAGCCGCTTAATTAATGTAGCCCACGTAAAAATAGCTGCCATAAGAAAAAAAAAAAAAAAAGGAGAGCAGGAAAAAAAAGAGTTCACGTTGTCAATTTAACACACGAAATTCTTACCATGACCATGACCATGACGTTAGAGGAGGAGACTGAATTCAGTCTTATTTCAAGTTGAATCTTTTAAGATCAGTCCAGAATCAGTCTTACCAACTCCGGAGAAACTTTCACTGCCACCTCTATTCCTCCAGTGTTGCAAGAAACCGCTCGGCCTCGCTTGGCTCCTGGAAAATATGCACGTCGTTTCCCCGGGATAGCTTGATGGTGGCCGGGTAGAGAAGGAAAGCTTGGAAGCCCTTGACCCTCGCCTCGTGCATGAGTTTATAGCATGGCTTCTGACGTTTGGTTGTAACATCACTGTAGTCTGCGGTGAACCTCAGTTGGGTATTGTCCACCTCCGGAGGATTTTTTCTTGCTTTGTTTAGCAATCTGTCTCTGTCGGTGTAACGAAGGCACTTGATTATCAGCGGGTGTGAGCGCTGTGTTTTGCCGCTAGCAGGTGGCCGTCCCAGGCGGTGGCCACTCATCAGCTCCAGCGGTGCAGACGCGAAGGCAGGGAACCATAATGGAATATTCTCCATAAGATAGGTGAGAACATTTTGGCCTTCTGCACCCTCTTTTAGATTGAAGATGAGGAGATTTTCCCTGCGCGCCCAGTCCTCCATTTCAGTGAGTTTGGTTTCAAAAGTTTGTTGCTTCTTCAGGCATTCAGACGTAGATTTTTCTGCCATAGCGACGCGCTCCTTCATATTGACAGTTTCTGAGCAAATAGATTTTATCTCTTCAGCGTGACGAGACAGAATAGAATGCATGCTTTCAATTCGTTTTTCCAGTCTGTTCATCCAAGCCTCGGACTTCTCCTCGGTGTCTTTGAAATATTTCGCCATTGTCTCTTTGATTACTTTTGCGAGAGCTGCATTTTCCTCGCCTAGCTCGTTCTGTAGAGAAGCCATCCACATTTGTTTAGCGGCAGTAGTTTTTCTTGTAGTTTTCTTGTAGTTCGCATTTAACGAAGGCTGCCCACGCGGCCATAGATTTGGAAAAGTTTGGAGGAGGGTGGACGCCAAAACGATCTATGCTGCCAACATGACACCGGAAACCAAAAATGACACATAAACCTGACATTTCATATATGAAAACTGGTGATGATAAAATAAGAAAATCATGGTGAAACAACAGAAACATCTAAACTACTCAAGGGGTTCACAAACTTCAAGCAGCACTGTATCTGTGGTTTGCAGAAATGCCAACAGTTTTCTGATAAATGTCTTGAGACGAGATGCAGCAGCAAGATATCTAAAAGTACATGAAAAACTTAACTTAATTGTCCAGTCACATGTCAAGTGCATCCAGTAACCATCAGGATTGCCCATTTGAGCTCATGGCAATACCCTCAACAGTAATAAACAAGGCACTGACGTCACATTTATTTGGGCTTCAGCTTCTGCTCATATGAGTATTCTTGATACTTAAAGAGTGAACTAACCTGCCAAACCAGCTGTTTAAAAAGAAAACATAAACAACTTCAAACTTGGAAAGGCAGAAGGAGGGGGCATAGTATGGAAGAAAATGATTGGGAGCAGCTCTGAGATAAGGAGATAAGGGGAGGGTATTTCCATTCAGTTCAAGATAGAGTGTGAGAAATAGGGGAGTAAATCAAAGAGAGGAGGTCAAAGTGACTAGATTAGGAAAAGACACACTAATCTGAATAACACACTTTATATCATAGGGAAGCATCCGGCGGGAGGAGGAGTAACCTGGCCGGGACGTGAGCGGATGAATCCACACCGGCCGGACGGACAGGACGGGAGGGAAACTCCACTCAACCACCAGGAAATGCTAACATGACTGCGCTCTTTTTTCAAAGCACACCCCAGCCGGTAACAGCAAAACGCATCTGAAACACAACTGTAGGCCTGCACTGTACAAAATAATACTGGGATTAATTGTAGCCGCGTGAAAATGTAATCGAAGGCTACAGTGAAACTCCAGAGTGTTTTATGTAAAAGAAAACTTTCCAACCTTCACGGAGGGAGTTAATACTGAGTTCACAAAAACATTTCACTCACTTTTATGAGATGTAAATAAAGGACAGGCGGAGGTAAACTCCAAATAAACTTATCTTCGTACCTCTTTCCCTGTGTTTCGGTGAGTTTCAATTGCATTTATGTTGTGTCCTCCCGTCCCGTCTGTGTGCGCAGCTACACTTCACTGCTCGGTAACAGCAGTACGGCACGGAGGAGCGGGGGGAGGAGCAGGAAGGTCTCTGCTGGACTCCAGCCTGCATGTTATCAGCCATGTAATTATACACAAATCTCAGCCACTCATTTGTATTATTTATAGATACATTCCTGCTAAAAAAAATTACAGATGCAACTTCTGTATCATTATGGTAGAAACAATACAACACTTATTCTTTCAGTGTGTACATTTGACAACAGGTTCGTATAGACAGTAGGTACAGACAGTGTAGCTGCACTGGGGCCCGTGGAGTTGGGGGCCTGCAAATGATTCAGATTCGCACCTTGGAACTACACGTTTTATGAAAAAAAATTAACATCAAATTAAAAGGTCAGGGTACCTTCAGGCAGTTCATTTTTTCGTTTTAAACCAAAAACAAAAAAACAGAAATATTTCCCGTTTTTTCCTTTTTGGTTTAAACCGAAAAAACGAGAAAATGGAGCCGTTTTTCTGTTTTTGTTGTCAGAATTAAAAAACGAAAAATGACAAAACCAAATTCAAATAACAGCCCAATTTTGGTTGAAGTGTTACATCTGCTGCCATAACCTTTGAACTAGCTTACAGGAAACTCTAGGCCTGACCCTGCTTAGCTTAAAACATAAAAACAGTAAGGAAACTCCAGTCTTTTTCTATTCTCCGCTGTCTGCTCCGCTCCTCTGCCGATGTCCAATCCTGGATTTCCCCCACCCTGCCTCGACCAAGCTTCCTCTCCCTGGTCCTCCTTATAACTTGTACCTGCTACTTATCATCTCTCTGCCCATGTGGTCCAACAATAGCATCACCGCCTTTCAATCAAATGAACTGGGGTTGAATCCAACGTCAGCCGTTGAAGTATTTCTCACTTGATTGTGAATAAACCGTTTGAACTGAGCTCTGCTGTTGTCTTAATTTTTGAGCCAACCTGTCATTCTTAATTTAACAGACACACATCAGGTAGGGTATGGGTGAATAGCAGCTACAGACAAAATTATGCTAAGTGGTAAGATTAAGATGTCCTTTATTGAACCCAGGCATTGACACATAGTGCAAATATAAAAATAAGAAAAGAATACAATCAAAACAATTTGAGTAAAAATATACACATGATGTGAGAAAAGTATTAATAAAATGGAAAGTATGTACAAATGAACAGGGGATAGTATGTAGCCTATGATACATGCTATATACAGTGCAGCACAATGCTACATGTACAAAACGCTGCATGTTATATACAACACAGTGTTTCTTGGAATCTGATAAACTGCCCAATGCTGTTTAAACACGTTCAGACTATTAAAGAAACTCACTTTCAAGCTACATTCTGCAGCTGCACCACGATCCTGCTCACTCACAAATATTAATAATCTCCAATTTTAGACAATATGAATTATGTTCCATCAGCGTGACCAATCACATCGATAGAGATCATTATTCATTGATCCTACGTGTCTAAAGCTTCACACAGATTTTTATAATTTTAACTGAGATTACACATTTGCAATAAACATTTCAGTGCAGGAGCTGCTCTGACAGACTGACAGCTATCTGATCCATGTGCACAGAGGCACAGACTTAGGCTATATAAAATAAAATAAAAACTAGATGGTTCTTCTTACTCCACCATAGCAGGTAGTGTGAATCTCTAAACTGTCTGCACAATTATTATTATCAAGCATCTCCACGTGACCACAACTGAGGGGAAAGTCCAGTGACAGCTTAACTCTAACTGATAGTAGCCTATAGTAAATGCCTTTCCATAGATGTACATCAGTTTTTTCCCCATCTGGCTGTCAACATAGGCCTATTCATTCATATTTGTATTTTTGATGACAACTTTGATGCAGTGCGACACCTGCTGGTCATTTTTAATAACTACTTTTGGCGCGCTTGCTGTCATGTTGATAGTTTTACCAAGAACAGACTTCACTGTTCATGGTACATCCTGAAGAAAACTTATTATAGAGCTTTCATTTTCATGGTCATGATCAGCTGCATATTAACAGGCAATACAATAAAACGCTGTTGCATTACTTCATTGCCTGATGCCGTTAGCTGATAGCCCTTAGCGGTGTCTGTAATAACTCACTAAATGGCCCGTGAAAAAAACAAAATTCCAGCGGATGTCTTAGTTACAACATGATTGAGCTAACTGGAGTAGTTTCATGTCGTATCCGACAACGGGAGGCTTTTTTTTTTTTTTTTTTCCTACTTGTCTGCATTGGTCTTCATAGCGTAGCGCCACTAAAGGGTGTAAGCTTCTTGTGAAGATTGATGCACTGTTAATCTTGCAGTCAAGTATTTTATACCCATAATGCGTGGTTGTGGCCGTCACTAACAGCCTTTATTGGAAAAACTTCCTAATATGAGTCAGAGAGGGCCGTGATACACCAGAGTGTGTGAAGGGGAAAGTAAGGAAACAAGCGAGGGGGAGGGGGCAGGTGCTTAAGTCCTGAGTTATATAGTGACAGTGCATGCGGAGAAGAAGGAGGAAAAACAAACAGACAAATAAACAAACAAACAAA